TTAAACTTTTCTTGTTGTCTGTTGGTTAGGGCCCGTCTTCTTTCATTTAAATTTAACAATTTATGCCCCTTCTTTTTTTCCCAGATCTCCATTGTAGTAGAGCCCTTTTTCATTTTCCTTTGTGGGGGGCCAATCTTTGTACCATTTGTTCTTGTTGGGTGGATAATGGTTGGTGTAATTATTACTTTCAGCCTTTAGTTTTACTTTTGCTTTATATAACCAACTTTAGTGAGAACTAAATGCCTAGATCTGTTGTATTTTCATTAGGAGATTTGTTGGTTTGTAGTAGGAAATTAGTAAAGTTGCGATGCTTTATTGGTCTTTTCATTTTATCCTTGAGCCGAGGGTCTTCAGAAATACCTCTACCTCCACGAGGTAGAAGTAAGGTTTGAGTATACATTATACTCTCCAAACATCACTTGTGAAATTATACTGGATATGTTGTTGTTGCCATGCTTTATTGGTGGATGAAAGTTTCTTTGGTTTCACGGATTGTGAACCCTCTTCGTTTTTGGCGATCTCTATCACTTTATAAAGGGCAGTCTAGAGCACTAAACTAAGAGCGGGACTACAAGGGTCTATTGTACGCGGTATATCTCTATCACTTTACCTAAGACCTAATTAAAGAAAATTTGTTGGCTTTCTTGGAAGTTGGATACCTTTATGTGGTACTTGTTGGAAGTTGGATGATGGCATAAAGAAATATGCATTGGGGTTTAGGTACCTTTTCTTTTATTACGTTTGCCTCGTTGCCAGAACCAGCTATTGACTAGGAAAGGCATGTGTATTGTCTTTTTGATTTTTAGAAGATATTATATCGAGTGAAGTTGTTCTCCCAAGTGTAAGCTAATGAAATTTTCAGGGTCTCAATTTCTTGTTCTTATCAGAAAAGGTGCAATGTAGTTGAATGACAGTAGGAAAATTTATTATAAGACACATGAAAAGGGTTGTCGACTAGTTGTAATCCTGGGTTCGCTGGTCCTGCATAACTCAATACTTTGAGGTCGGGCAATCCAGTACATAAAGCTCCCGTTATGCGTGGGGTCCGGGAAAGGATCTGATCACAAAGATCTATTATAGATAAGTACTAGTTATGTCAAGACTCTCCTTCAATACTTTGAGGTCGAACTTTATATATATGTGCAAAAGAAAAAGTATAAATAGGATTGATATACAATTCAAAATTCATTATTTCATCTCTTTAAACACAACATTTAAATTCAAGATCCATCATTATTTTTAACAGTTGAAAAAGTGTCACAGATAGTGATCATGAAAACCTTGAGGGTCGTTTTGGTTAGGAAACAAGTTATCCTTGGATTAGTTATCCTGGAACTGTTATTTCATTCTTCCATAGCGATAAAAATAACACTACAATCCCGGAATAACTAATCTCATATTAGTTATACTATCATTTTATCCCAACCAAACGTGGGATAAACTCATCTCAAATTTAATCCCGAAATTGATTATCCCTTATCCCTCGTACGAAAGAGCCCTAACATTGTTGCTTTGGTGGTCCCCCCATTTTTTGAATAAAAAATTGTAGGTGATGTTGGGAGAGGGAGCAGACACTGAAATATAGTGGTCCATTCATAATAGTGCCAAATATTTTGTTAGAAAGCATCCAAAGTATTGAAAGGATTTCTCAAAGGTCTCATCAACGTTGGATCTTTTTGGCATTGGGCCAGTGATATTGCAAATAAATAGATGAGAAACAAAATTGTAAAAGTAACATATTTCATCAATCTTTAAACCCTTTTATGGAGATGTTTCCCTTTATCTATTGGCTTTGTTCTGTCCGATTTGAGTCCATACCATACCAATTGAATGCCTGCGCATGTGCTATCACGAACTAGTTTTCTTCCCTGGAATGGACCACCCCATCACTTCTGAACATGTCTTGCCCCAGTCACCATTATCATTCTCCTGCCCCGAATGGGGTGACCTAGCAGTCGATGAAGTGGATGAAAATCACGAGAAGTTAATTTTCAGTTGTAAAATAAAAAATACTATAGGAGATCTCTTTCCCGTATGTTTAAACCTTGATTGAAAGCGTCACTTGATATCAGTACTGATATGAGATAACAAGTACCTGCTGAAATAGTCGACATGCTGTTAAATTGACCGCGACATCGCCTTAAAAAAATCATGTTCTTACAAAATTATGGGGATATATTTATTTGTTTCCATTGAGCAAATTCTAAAACGAAAGAAATGCTATTATTCCCAGAAAATAATTAGAAGCATCTTCTTGAGAAACAAAAAAATAAACCAGAATGTTGTTTTCCAAAAACGTTTCTTCCAATACACAGATAAACCAATTTTTCCAAAACCAAATCCCAACACACATTACAAAGAAAAACAAAATCAAAGTGGTTTTTATTTATTTATTTATAATCCAAACACCATTTTCTAGTTTGCACAAACATACAAAATGTAAGCTATATAAAACAAGGGAATTTACATAAGAAATTTTTTCATCCACCTATCCTGCTCCATGTGCAATGTGCACTTTAAAAATCAAGCTGTGCTATCTTCAAGTTGATTTTTAAAATGCTAATATATTCATTTTTTCAATTTTCGAAATAAAAATTGAGGGCCAAGAAAGTACCAAATGATCATATATCAACTAGGATTATTTAAAAGCTAATTGCTTAATTAAGAGGCTGTTGCAAATGAAGATTAGATCCAATTTGGCTAATAAAATTTAAAATAAGGTTGAATCAAGCCAATAAGATGATAAAAATTTCATGATACATACGAGTTAGATCGAATATGTACCATTTGTCTCATTTAGTTTTGAATATAAAAAGCATGCACCCAATTTGTCTGTTTGTAGTGTTCTTTTTCTCCTTCGCTTTCCTTGTTCTGTTTATGAATAAAAATCGGGGAAATTGTACAGTTAGCTACCAATTAGAGCTGTATTTACTCTTAAATTACGGTTTAAAATGTATTTACTCTTTAGCCAGTGCTTTAATAAACTTTTACCTATCGGACGAAAATACCCATGTGCTAGACATGGTGTCCTTAACTTCATGAGTGCTGTGTAAATATTAAGGACAAAGTGTCCTGAATAAGCACCTTTTGTTTTAAACTTTAGGCATGTCCTTAATTTCATATGTGCAATGTAAATGTTAAAGACATAATGTCCTTAACTTCATGAGTACTGTGTAAATATTAAGGACAAGGTATCCTTAACTTCATGAGTGTTGTATAAATATTAAGGACAAAATGTCATGTATTTACACCTTCTGTTGTTAAACTTTAGGACATCATGTCCTTAACTTCATGAGTGTTGTATAAATATTAAGGACATGGTATCCTTAATTTCATGAGTGCTGTGTAAATATCAAGGACAAAGTGTCTTGTATTTGCACCTTCTATTGTTAAACTTTAGGACATCATGTTTATTGGAAGTTAGGAGGTTAGAAGTTAGTTATTATTGGGGCCTTAATGTAATTACTAGAAGTTAGGGGTCTCTTTTATTATTTTTGGTTTTCCTAATTAGTTGCACATACAGAGTTAGTTAGTACAGTAATAATCAGTTCAAAAATTTCCCAATTTCCTTTTTCTTCTTCCTCACGCTCATAATGCTCTCTAATGGCTGAATTTTGACATGGTATCAGAGCCATGGAGACTGATCCGTGAGGTCGAAAAATTTCTCCACCTAATTTACTGTTTAATTCAATTCACTCTCTTAATTTTCGATTCGAATTTTTTTCTTTTAGTTTGAGAAACATTGCTCTAGAACTGGTGCGTTAATGGCGACGGAGAGAATTGATCATACGCATCCACTTTTTCTTCAACCTTCATACGCGCCTAGGTTGATTCTTATTCCAATTCAGCTTACAGGATGGAGAACTATGGATTGTGGAGCAGATCGATGCGTCTTGCTCTCATAGCTAAGCGGAAGCTAGGGTTTGTAACAGGAGCTTGTGCCAAGGAATCGTTCGAGGAGAATCTCCGTGAGGAATGGGAAACTTGTAACGCGATAGTGCACAACTGGAATATGAAATCTGTTTCGAAGGATTTGCTTAGTGGGATCATTTATGCATCAGATGCACATGCAGTTTGGGAAGACCTACAGAAGCGTTTGATAAGGTAAATCGATTGCGTATTTTTCAATTACACAGAGCTATTTCGAGGTTATCTCAAGGAGAGAATTCTGTAGCTGTGTATTTTACTAAATTGAAGGAACTATTGGCAGATTATAATGTATTGCTACCATATCTGAACTGTGGTTGTCCAAAATCTAAATAGCATATGACTCATTTACAACAACAAAGAGTTATGCAGTTCCTAGATGGACTAAATGATACATATGATCAGGCTCGTAGATAAATTCTAATGAAAACCACTGAACCCATACTTAATCAGGCTTATGCACTTATAACACAGGATGAGAGTCAGCAATGTACAAGAGGTGGCGTCATAGGTCATAAGATAGATCCCTTAGCCATGCGAGCAGGAAAAGATCAAGAATTTCGTGGAAGAAAACCATATCTGCAATGTAAACACTGTCGTATGAAAGGGCATCCAAAAGAAAATTGCTACAAGATAGTAGGATACCATGAAGATTTCAGAAGAAGGAAAGTTTTTCATCCTAATGGGATTCTAACTGCTGCAAATCATGTGGAAGGTTCTGTGAATCATGAAGAAGGATATGTGGCTCAAAGCTCACAAGGAGTATCACAGTCTAAAGGAGGAGATCACTTTTCACAGAAGCACAGTACCAACAGATCCTAGACTTGCTGAACAAAGACTCGCCACCAAGTGACATTAAGACTCAAAATCAAGTAACTGCTGCATGTATAATTACTACATTATCTTCTAGTATGCATGTTTCAAACAAAAGGAATGATGATTGAATTGTAGATTCAGGAGCAACACATCACATATCATCTACTTTAGATTTAATGAGTGGTGTAAGAAGAGTAGATGATAGGACATGAGATAAAGTAACATTGCCAAATTGTGTGACAACAAAAATTGAGCATATGGGAAGTTCATATTTGTCAGATGTTGATAAGCTGGAGAATGTTCTACATGTTCTTTATTTTAAGTTTAATCTAATGTCAGTGTCCAAGTTAACTAGAGAACTAAAATATGTTGCCACCTTTTTACCCACACTATATGTGTTTCGGGACCTTTACAATGGCAGGGTGAAGCGATTGGTAAAGAAGATGATGGTTTGTATATACTGAAAGGAAGAGGAATCAGACTTTTAGCAGCTAATGTGGATGTGAGAGGTTCAAGTGGTGAAACCGAATGCTTGTGGCATGAGAGATTAGGCCATGCTTATGTTCCTGTTATGCAGCACGTTTCCTTTTTTCATAATAAAGCAGACGATGATATGCAGAATAAATGTATTGTTTGCCCTTTAGCTAAATAGTCTAGACTTAGCTTTCCTAATAGTGAAAAAAGGAGTACTAGAGCTTTTGAATTGGTTCACATGGATGTATGGGGACCATATAAGAAGAGCACTTATGATAGGAAGCATTACTTTCTTACAGTTGTAGATGACTTTTCTAGAGCAACTTGGATTTTCTTGATGCAGTTTAAGAATGAAACTATTGTTTTCCTGAAGCAATTTGTTTACATGGTTAAAACACAGTTTGACACTTCTGTCAAGGTCTTGAGAACAAACAACGATAAGGAATTTTTCAACACACAGTGGAATGAGTTCTTTTTGTTAGAGGGGATTATTCACCAAAATAGTTGTGTTTATACACCCCATCAGAATGGAGTAGCTGAAAGGAAACACAAACATATATTAAATAATGTCAGGGCCTTAAAGTTTCAAAGTCATATTCCATACATGATTTGGGGGGAGTGTGTACAAACTGGTGTTTATATAATTAACAGTTTGCCTACTAGAATATTGAATAGAAAAAGTCCTTATGGAATGTTGTATGGTAGAGTACCTTCAATAGCACATCTAAGAGTATTTGAATGTCTATGTTATGCCACTAATCTGGTACTAGATGAAAGTTTGTTGCAAGAGCAAGAAAAGCTGCTCACATGGGGTATTCAACTACTCAAAAGGGCTATAGATTATATGATCTAACTACTAGAACCTTCTTCATTAGCAAGGATGTATCTTTCAGGGAGAATGAATTTCCATTTAGGAAACTAGAACAACAGCATCTATTCACACTAAATGATTTTGGTGCTAGTTTTTTGGAGACAGAATTGCAGGTTCAAACAGGTGGACTACCAGAGGTGACCAATTCACCAGTAGAGGGAGGCAATAATGGAGATCATGATGCAGCACCACCAGTAGAAGATTTGGAAGAATCATTGGTACCAAATGAATATCATGATGTTGCACTACCAGAACAGGAGACAGAAACAGATGGATCTCCATATACATATGGTGTACTGAACAATGTTGAAGATATGCCTGCTGATTCACCTATTCAAGGTATACAAGATGGTGTCACCGAAGATGCTCAGGATGTGCAAGATGCACCTATGACTGAGTCTGGTTCTAATGCACCAACTAGACAGTCACTCAGGATAAAAAATTCACCTATATGGCAAAGGGACTATGTACTGCAGCCACAAAAGTCCTCAAAATACAACTATCCAATCTCAAACTTTTTGTCTTATGAGAAGATGTCCTCAAAGTACAGAAGTTATGTGTCAGTTTTTTCAGTCCTGAAGGAGCCTTATAACTTCAAGGAAGCTATAAAGAATGAGAGATGGATCACAGCCATGAAACATGAGATACAAGCATTAGAAGATAATAAGACTTGGGAGGTCGTTGACTTACCACCAGACAAAACTTCCATTGGGTTCAAGTGGGTGTACAAAATAAAGTACTAAGCTAATGGAGAAGTTGAAAGATTCAAGGCATGACTAGTAGCAAAGGGATACAATCAATAAGAGGGATTAGACTATCATGAGACTTTTTCACCAGTTGCAAAGATGGTGGCTGTTAGATCTATGATAGCCTTTGTAGCCTTAAAAGATTGGTCATTGTACCAAATTGATGTTTTAATGCTTTCCTTCAAGGAGACCTATTTCAATAAGTCTACATGAATCTGCCACAAGGTTTCCAAAGGCAGGGGAAGCAAAAGGTGTGTAAGTTGCTTAAGTCTTTATATGGTCTCAAGCAAGCATCAAGGCAATGAAATTTGAAACTTACAGAAGCATTGGTGGGATCAGGTTTCATACAGAGTACTCATGACTATTCTATGTTCACCAAGAAGTCAGGCAAGGATATTTTCATCATTCTCATCCATGTTGATGACTTGCTACTGACTAAAAGCAATAAGGACTTGATTGATGAAGCTAAGGCAGCTCTGTATCAACAATTTAAACTCAAAGACCTAGGAGAATTGAGGTATTTCTTAGGCATTGAGGTATTGAGATCCAATCATGGAACACTGCTTAACCAAAGAAAATACACCTTAGAGCTCATCTCTGAGTTGGGCTTAAGTTGTGCCAAGCCAACATTAACACCACTTGAAGTCAATCAGAAGCTCACCACATAGAATATGACAAAGCCACTGGAGTAGAAAATGCAGATCCCTTGACAGATGCAAATAGCTATCAAAAATTTATAGGGAAACTCCCCTACCTCACAGTCAGTCGACTAGATATCAGCTATGCAGTGCAGAGTTTAAGTCAATTTATGCAACTGCCTAAGAAGTCATATATAGAGGCTGCATTTAGAGTGGTCAGATACTTAAAATCTACACCAGGAATGAGAGTTCTATTGAAACAAGGGCATGTTGATACATTGACAGTTTTTTGTGACTCTGACTGGGCAGCTTTTCCGAATGACAAAGAGGTCTGTTAGTGGATATGCAGTTAAACTTGGTGATTCCTTGATTTCATGGAAATCAAAGAAGCAACACACTGTTTCACGAAGCAGTGCTGAAGCAGAGTATCGCAGCATAGCATCAGCAGTTTCACAAATAGTGTGGTTGTTGGGGCTGTTCTCAGAGTTGGGAGTGTGTATTCTTAAGCCTGTCACATTATTCTGTGATAGCAAAGCAGCGATGCAAATAGCTACAAATCCTATATTCCATGAGCGAACCAAACACATAGAGATAGACTGTCATTTTGTTTGTGAACGTATCAAGGATGATGTCTTGGTTACTCAATATGTTTCTACTAAAGATCAACATGCAGATCTCTTCACCAAAGGGTTATCATCTGTACAACATCGGTTCTTACTACACAAGCTGAGAGTGTTGAACATTCTCCACCCTCGAGCTTGAGGGGGAGTATTGGAAGTTAGAAAGTTAGAAGTTAGTTATTATTGGGGCCTTAATGTAATTACTAGAAGTTGGGGGTCTCTTTTATTATTTTTGGTTTTCCTAATTAGTTGTATGTACAGAGTTAGTTAGTACAGTAATAATCAATTGGAAAATTTCCCAATTTCCTTTTTCTTCTTCCTCAATATCATGATGCTCTCTAATGGCTGAATTTTGACAGTGTCCTTAACTTCATGAGTGCTGTGTAAATATTAAGGACTCGTGAATTTAAGGATACCATGTCCTCAATATTTACACAGCCCTCATGAAGAAAGGGTAAAACCGTCTTTTTGTATTAGTTTTATATTTTTGCTTAGCATTACAAAAGCTAGATAAAAACTAAATATCACATTAAAAAGTGACTATCCACGCCATTTCTACATAAAAATCGGACTGGATCCTAGCACGATTTGTGTTATTAAGGTTCTCCAACTGTAATAAAAATATTATTATTACGTGTGAACAAACAACTAAATTTATCATTAAAGTATATGTTTAACAGAAAAACATAGGGTATCATATATAACATGCAAACTATTAGGGAACAAGACTAAATATGATTCTTGTTGATTACCTTTAGATGTGTTGTCCCTATTCCTCCTAATACAATAGATATATCATAATCTGTATTAACAAATAAAATCTTTTTTCCCAAGTTTAATAATTTAATTAACTCTAATTGTCTTTTAGGTGATCTAATATTATCAAAACTTCTATATCTATGAAAATTATACTCCAAAAGAAATACTAACATACTACAATTATTAAGATAACACCAGGAACACAGGTACACAGCTGTTGCTTCTAACTTCCTTTTTCTTTTAATTGATCCAGTTATGGACTAAAGGGTGGGCAAGAGGACCAGGTTTATAAAACTTTATAGGTTTATTAATACTAACCAATAAGACAAACTCGACGGGTGTACCATTTTTTGTATAATATAATTAGTAGGCACCTAATAGGACAAATCTATTATAAAAATATAGTTAATTGATGTTAAAAATTATTGGCACATTAAGCATGTGTATATTTTTTTTTTTTTTTTTTTTTTTGCAAAGTGGTTAGCGAAAGTAGAATAATAATTTAACGAAAATTTTAAATGAAAAAAATCAAAATATATTAATTCAATTGGTAAAAAGATAGGCGCCTAAGCACAGTGGGGATTTAGCCTTGGATTCTTGACCAACTAATTGGCTTTTCTTCACTAAGAACACTATAGTTCTTGACTTTTGGAAGCTTTAGATTATTAAATCACTTGAATATTAATAATTAAATTTTTAAATCAAAACATGCTTTAGTAATTTATTTTAAAAATCTCAAGGTATTGAGCTGGTTTACAGTTAAGATGATGGACACAATCAACCATATGAATGACGCCCACCGGTCATTTTTCTTCCTCGGCAGCACGGTGCACTAAGCTCCTACCGTCTTTTGCTATGGAGTTTCAAATAACAAGTGAAATCCCAGAACAGAGATTGTATTTCAATTACAAAGGCTAAGGACTCGTTTGGTCAAAGAAATTTTTTACTTTTTTGGGATTTTTTTTAACTTTTTTTGGAATCTTATGAAAATTTTAAATTTCACGTGAAGTTGAATTTTAAAATTTTTTAAAAATTTTAAAAACTCCAAAAAATTTATTTCAAATCACTCACAAAATTTAAAAATAATTCCAAATTGTATTTATGTCCAAACGCACGCTAAAAATGACTGTTTGTAAATTTTTACCCCATCACACATCCCCCATTGTCGTAATAAACTAGTGAATATCACGTGGTCCACTGACTTTGTGAACTTTTCTCTGATACGTGCCCTTCTATGTATAGTCCAAATGAACAGACGGACAAAAAACGTAACCACAAACGTAAAAAGACTGTACAAGCAAAACTCTCTTCGTTTTTTCATTTTTTCTGAAAGTAACTCCATTCCTCGCAAAATGTCATGATTTTATTTTAGGGACACGTCAAACATATGTATTATATTTATCATTCGTAATAAATTTTCAGTAAATTTATCATTCGTAATTATATTTGAATTTTATAATGATGATAGGTTATAATTGCGTATTTTAGTCACTTATCGCACTTTAATTTACTACACTTTAATTGAGTTTAAGCTTTAATTGCTAGTGTTTTGCACTAATTGCGTGTTTTATGCCTTGTAGGAGTGATTCCAAGTTATGTAGATGTTATGGAACGAATTAGAGCTATTTGGAGCTTTGAAGTCTGAAAAGCCCAAAGTATTAAGCCAGGATCGTGTTCGGGGGTTGAGAACCACGTCTGGATATCAAAAAGGCAAGAAAATCTGTACTCTAAGAAAAAGATACAACCGCGGCACATGGGGCAGCGCGTGGCACGCCACGGCTGTGTAAATTGCTGTTGTTGTCAATTTCACACGCTCCTTAATAAACCCCACAAGCATACCGCATCGCCCTATGCGGTGCACATGTGCAATTTTTACAGAGTCGGAATCCTATTTCTCGCAGGAAAAAGTTTTTTCGTCTGGGCTCGACCCTACTTGACATAAATACATGTAAAAACGTTATTTTTAGGACTTTTAACATACTTTAGTCCTAGGGAGAGCACGAAGCCGCCGTGGATGCCGGGATTCATCAGATTCTATTTTTCTTCCATTGAACTTAGTAATCTTTACGTTTCTTTGGATGAATTATTGTTTTGCTATCATGTCTATGTTGAGCTAAACTTCACGTTCTAGGGTTGTGGTTGTCATGAATATTGAAGTTTATTAATTATATTACCGTTAATTCTAGTTATCATCTTTGGTTGTTTCTCTAACTCTATGCATAATTGCTTAATTATTTGGCCAACAGTTGAGTTCTATTTACTATATATGCTATACTTGGGAAAACCGTATTTATATTAGAGTAGAATTAGAGAGAGCTTGTTTCTGAACCTGTGACTCGGGGAAAGATTTCACGGTTAGGATAAGAATATACCTAACAGTCTTGCTTAGTTGAATACCGTATTATATTCGTTCATAATAGATTCAAGATCATAGAAATATATAATTGATATGTTATGGATAGACGGATAGTATTGTGGGAACATGCTATTTATATAAATGATCTGGTCAACTAGTAATCATAGATAATTTGAATTAACAAGTGTAATTACGAACTCGATAGGATTGATAAACCGACCACAACCTTGAAATCTATATCTCCCTTGGTTACGTGTTTAAATTTCGCAATAGTAATTGTAATAGAAAAACCAACTTTCGATTATCTTGGACATTAAATTGATTTTGGTTTACTTAGCTAACGATCAATCTAAGTCTCTGTAGGTTCGACATCTGACTTTTGAGTCACTTTATTACTTGACGACCGCGTACGTGTGTATTTGGCCGCAACAAGTTTTTGGCGCTATTGTTGGGGACTTAGTTATTGATTGTTTATCTAAGTTTAGCTTTTAGTTGATTTTCGTTAAAGTTTTTAATTTTCTTATTTAGTTAGTATTTTTTTTAAACTTATTTTCACATAACATCTTGGAATGAAAATTATTCGAATGATGGTAATTCTTACTATAATGATCCTTGTCCATATTGTGGAGGATTCCACTGGTGGAAAGATTGTCAAAATATTCTTAAGAGCGAGTTCGGTGTACCATCTCAATCTTATGAGTGAAATATTTATAATATGTGTGGTGGTCAAGGTGTTCATTGGGATGACTGTCCTAATTCTTTTTATGCATCTTCAAGCCTTTATTTCGATGTTTCTAATAACTTTTGTGAGTTTGATAGGAACAAAGTGGAGAATGTGGAATATGATACTCAGACTACGGACTTGTTGAGGCAATTAATGGAGCAAACTCATAAACATCGAAAAGAGATAGAAATTCTCAAGGCCACAATGAAGAGAATGAAGGCCAAAGTAGAAGAATTGGTTGAAACATTCGATGATCAACAAGTTGCAGCCATAGTTGATAGTCAGGAAGAGCTTAAAATTGGACAAGAGAGTGAGTTCTAGCTAGAGGAAACTTTCAAAGAAGAGGAGATTTTGAGCCAAACCTGGCTAATTGAACAAGCTAAACGATTAGAAATATTTGAAGCTCAACGTGAGAAAATTACAGATAAGATAAAAGACTTAATATAAGGAAGAGATGAGCTGGGACAAAAGATCAAAAAATTTGGCTTCGCTATTCACGACTTGGAATCTCAATTGAATGCAAAGGTTATTGCATCTAACGCCCAACAAAATAGTTCTAAGTTGTGTGAAGCTGAAAAGAAGCTTATACGCCAAATTGAGGAGCTAAAAGTGGAGAGTCAATCAATCGACGATACTTTTATTGATGATGTCCATGTTGAAGAAAGCACTTTAGAGTCATGTGAGGAAGTAGATAATATTATATTTGAAGACTCTAGTGTGTATACATATGAGGATGTAAATAGTGATACAATTCTAGAGTTGGGGCGTACTGGTCCTCATTCCATGCATTTTTCGATATTGTGTTTGGATGATGATATAGAAATTGAGTCATTCGAGCCTTTGGAGGAGACGAGGAGCAAGGTGCTTACATTCTGGAATTTATTGTGCCAGAGAGACAGCATTACATATCTCATCTGAAGGCCAAGAAGTGTAGAATGTGAAATTGGTTACTTGGACCAACTATATTTATCCCACTACCCTGAGAATATAGCAAAAAGCTTGATGCCAAATTGGGGGCTCAATTCATAAGTTCGAGGCGGAGACAAAAAGTGGTTCACATCGTGCCGCGGCTTTAAATCAGGCGCTTGTTAGGAGGCAACCCAGCTTTATTTCTTTCTTTCATTTTTTTCTTTATAATATTATTTTTGTAGTGTCCATTTTTATTTTGTAGGATTATAAGCATATAAATCAAAGCCATTGGAAGAGTGCAAAGGCGACCTAGATGGTGAGAACTAAATGTGGGGTGCCCACACAAAAGACCATGCCTGGGGAAGTCTGAGTACCCGTGAGCCGCTATTGCTTT